TGAAACAGTCGGTGAAGGAAAAATCCGTCGGTGGCGTGTCGTGTAATGACGACACACGCGCGACATTTCCCCAATCGCGAAACGAGTCAAACGACACGTTCGTAGGCTGCAAATCTCTCGGGTGAAATGATTCATCGCATTCGATTAACGAACCCTTCACCGCGCGGTCGTTTACCGCGAGGATTTAGAATCGCGCGACAGCGCTCGCGTCTTGTAAGTTAAGTTTTCGTTAGCCTGAGTGTATCCTGGCACTCTTTGACAGAGAAAAAAAGTTCCTATTTATTTATGCTCTTGTGTCGCCAATAAATTATCTGAGGCTATCTCGTCAAGAAGGAAATATGAATAATAATATAATATTAATGTTTATAAATGATATAATTTTAATTAATGTAATATGTATTACTCTGTAATACCTATAATCTCTTCTCTTAACTTTGTTGTTTCATATAGACGAATTAATGTCTGCAAATTTTTGTATACCTCACATTTTATATCCAACAATAAGAAAGAGTTAAAATTTCTAAATGCACGTCTGGTTGTCTGTTTACACGAGCCTCATCTTCGAGTCTCTCTTCGGGGAAAAGGATCGGTAGCTCGCACGCATCGAGTCAACGAACTTCGGCACTCGACGTCGCACTCGACGTCTCCCGGAATCCGCGATGCGTTTCGAAAAAAAATAAATAAATAAAAAAATTTGCATGAATGATATTCGACTGGTAATGAAATGCGCTGCAGAAGCCGCTCGGTAACTTTTTATACCGCGCGCTTTACGACGCGTACGTTTGCGAAAGATTGCGGTGTTACGAGAGTCAGGCTCTCGTTCGCAAAAATAAAATACAAATCTCGTTAAGATACATTTTAATAGCGTATGTCGCGGAAGTCGCGAATCAGTGAAAAAAAAATGTCAAACTCGCACAAAAACATATATCGGATCGAGGTCTCCTTGGAGCGCCGGATAAAGACAAATCTATGTTACAGTGCTCGCCAAAAAGAGAGAGAAAAGAAAAAAACGACGATATTAGAGCGGCGTCGCGTAATGGTCGATCATTGATCTACCAGGATACAAAAAAAAAGACCGATCGGCCCGTTTTCCACTTGCACAAGCGTTTACTCGCTCGAGTGCGCTCGGAACATCGTCGCGAACATTACGATATGGTTTATATAATCGCTGGAGAGTCCGTTTATTCAAACGACTACATTTATTTCCTAAAAAGATGCGTCTAACAAAGAAAGAAAAAGGAAAAGAAAAACGCGTATGTGTATCGCGGAAATTAATTGTATAATCGATGATCTAACAACTTGCAGTCGTTATACTATCATGAACGCAAACAAACGTGCAGATGGAAAATAGTGAAATCTATTTCTGTCAATCGTAAAAATAATAATAGCAAACAAGAGTGTTCCTAAAATCTTGTTTTTTTTATAAACTTTTAATTAGATTCACTTACCATGAATCGTATAATCGTTCTGTTCTCTACTTATAGTTGTTACATTTTATTTTGAGGTCTTTCTTAAAGATTTGGAAAGTTTTGCTACAATATTTTGAGAAAACTTTGAGAAAAGATTTAAAATTTACGGTGTCATAAAAAAATTGTATTGCGTCAAAATGGCGATTAGCCGCAAATCGCGATGGAAGATGAGGCTAGCGCTCTCTCTTGTGCACGATGCTGCATCTGTTGCATTTCGCGGCGGTTTGAACATACAAGGTGCCGCCATCTACGATTGTTGTTCCGAGTTGTTTTACCGACGTATGTTTCAAATGTTGCCTCTTTTATTGACGCTGCCTAATTGCCGACAGTGGCAAATAAACGGTAAATAATGACGTGATAAATAATAGCAATTATTGTTTAACACGATGCAATATAAACGAAGGAGATGCAACGGACTTTCAAAAATCATGTATTAAATAAATATTAATCTTTTATATAATTGCAATTATATAAAAGATTAATATTTATTTAAATAGATATTTATAATAGATATTTATTTAAAATAGGTGCAGAATAGATACTTGATTTTTATTTTCTGTCTTACATTTATCTAACGAATAGAACAACATATAGTTATACATGTATAACTGTGTTGTTCTATTCGTTAGATAAATGTAAGAAAGAAAATAAAAATCAAGTATCTATTCTGCATCTATTTAAATTTCCTAATAAATATCTGTTACTGTAAATATAGTAACAATATTTTCGTGGAGATTAGAACGATACGCGATAGAGATGATAAACTCGTGTATGATCCGCCGAGGCAGAATAGACTTCGAACTGATGAACGATGGCTCGATAGATCCGTGATTTATGACGTACTCGCTGCGGTATTTTTTCATCTAGGATATAATTTATTGTATCGCCCCAATCTGCGCCTGTCGGCCCCGGTCGCGCCGCGATGAAAGCAAGCGAGCCAGCGAGCGCCGGCGAGCGAGGGGCATTGAAACGCTCGGCGTGTTGATCCATGCGCCGCGCTGCCAGGCCACGGGCCAAGTAACAGTAAACTTCGTATCGTGCCCCCCGTTATTACGTGCCGTCTCTCGCTTCTGCTTGTTTCTACGCTCGCTATCGAAATGTCGTATGCCGCCTTCCCCTTGAAA